AATGGACACACACACACACACACACACACACACACACACACACACACACACACACAGATACACGGACAGACCTACCATCCAATGTTACAGACACAACAAAGGGCCCAACAGGTGTGTTAACTCTGTCATCGGCAAACACCTCGAACGTCACATCAGAGGTACACTCTTGTGACAGATCGCTGCTGGCCCGGATAATTCCATCACCTGAAGGAAAAAAACAAAACAAACAACAACAAAAACAACAACAACAACAATGACAATAACAACAACAGCAACAACAACAACAACAACAACAAAGCCAAAACACACAAAAGTCCAACATTTTGGAGGAATGGATGAAAGAAAGAATTACAATGTACCGTCGAATCTGTCCCAATGGCCACCTGTATGAGACAATCACCTATAAGAAAAAATAAACTCTTCTTCAAAACGGTGCGTCTTAACCAATCGACCTCAATATGTAAAATTAAATGGTGTAAAAATCCGACCTAATATTCACAAACACGGTGCGCCCCAAGGTTGTGTAATCTCCCCTGTCTTGTTTACGCTCTACAGCAACGACTGTACTTTTGATAACAAAAACTTCAAGCTAATAAAATTTGCTGATGATTCCACTCTACAGGGCCTCTTAACAACAAATGAGAATGATTGCAGGGACGTTTATAATGTATTTACAAATTGGTGTGATAACCACTTCCTTTTACAAAATGTAAAAAAGACAAAGGAATTAATAGTAGACTTTAGGGTAAAAAAAAGACAAATTGCAACCACTATTTAATTTATTAAAGATGAAGAGGTGGAGGTGGTAATCTCTTACAAGTATCTTGGTGTAACAGTCGATAACTGGCATCCCCACGCTGCTCTTGTGCATAAAAAAGTAAATCAAAGAATGTTTATATTAAGGTAATTAAGAAGTTTCCGTGTTGATAATAAGATTATGTCCCATTTATACCATTCTATGATTGAAAGTGTGCTGCTATTTTGCTGCTGGGGTGGGAATTGTAAGGTGAAAGATAAAGAAAAATTTGGCAGAGCCATTAAGGAAGCCATCAAGATCTCTGGATAAGATTTTATCAGAATTGGTGAAATGTATAACACCACACGTATAAAAAAGATAAAAAGCATTATAAACGACCCATCACCCCTCCTTTCCACCCAGATTGTAAGATCACGCAGCGGCAGATAATATGTACCTCCAAAAACAAAGAAGGAAAGATAATAAAAGAAGGTTTTTTTTGCATCTAGCATAAGGCTTTTGTAAGAATGAGCATAGATGTGTGTTGCTCCTTAAAGTATGTATCTAATTCCTGCATGTGGTTGAATGATGCATCTTATGTAAATGTTCCTTTTGTCAGCTTTACTTCCCTTTTCATATTGAATTTCAATGAGAGTAATATATAATTTAATTTTTTAAATGTAGGCCTATACCTGATTGTGTTTTTACGGTCCTGTATGGCCAAGAAAAATTTCCCTGTGGGATAATAAAGTATTATCGTATCTTATCTTATCTTGTCGTATCTTAAAACAACTAGAATACGCGTGCTCAAAGAGGTGGAAGTATGCCAGTTTGTCACAGGCCTTGACTGTACCCTGCAAGATAGAAGTTATCACTGACACTCTCAAAAAGAGTAAATGAATGATTGATTGATTGTATGAATTGAATTTTATTTTTCAATTGTTTATAATGAAAGAACATTCATTGTTGAAATTTTATAGAGTAAGTTGCATTGATTCGCATTCAAAAAGGAAAAAATATCGAACAACACAAGCTGAATTGACATTTTAGAGGGACTATCTCTACACCACCAGTTTGAAGGTGAGAATTAAAAAAAAAAAAAGTTACAACTACAGTGTTAAAGTTCTATATGACCTTATGCAGTTGCGAGCTCCGTAATACACTTACACAAAAAAAAAGAAAAAAAAGTCACCAGCCATTCCCAAAACAGTCAGGTTTTGCTGCCGCATGTGTGGAATCGATCCATTCCTGCAAAAGTCACAGCTCAAGGCATTCAAGGAGTGCGTGAAAATGTTTCTTTTATCAGTATGGGGCGCAATCTGTTCATTCAGGATTTAAATTTACCCCCCCCCC